TTCCATTTGTCTTCAAATTTAGTCAGCCGAGCTTGATCAAGTTTTTTGCCACTCTGATTAATAGCCATTCAGCGTTCCCTAAACCAGGGGGAGCAACGCGTCTTGCTATTGACCCACACTGGCGCAATGAATACGTTAAAAATGTGTATCCCATCGCCCACTAATCACGCTGCGGGTCAAATGTTGAAACGCTTTAACCTGACTCCGGTCGATAATCGAAATACTGTGAGCATCTGATAGAATGGTCTTGATGCAGAACGTTGAAAAACATATTATCTCGTCTTTCAATCAAGTCGATTTTCCCATAGTGTAAAACTGCAAACCCAGTTACACTCACTCGCACACGTACATAGGCACGCGCGCACGGTATAGAGAGTATTAGAGACGCACGGACACACGCACGCACGCACGCACGTAGCACGCACAAGCAGGGAGCTGTATAGGCATGCTAAACAAGGTCACGCACGCACGCACACACGCACGCACGCACAAACAGGGAGCTGATAATGCATGCCTAAAAATAGGTCACGGAGCACGCAGAGGCCGACGCAACCCGATAGCGACGGCCGCACGACGCACGCACGCGCACGCAAACGCACAAACATGCGGCGAACTGCATAGGCATGCAAACAAGCGCCACGCACGCACGCGCACGCACGCACGCTCGCACGACACAGGGAGCTGCCATAGCCCATGTTAACAAAGGGTAGCCACGGGGCACGCAACACGCGCACACGACACACGCAACTGCACCGCACGCACGCACGCACACAAGACGCACGCACGGACACACAAAACAGGGAAGCTGACATCAAGGCATGCATAAACAAGGGACACGCGCACGCACGCACACCACACTGACCACGCACGAACGCACGCACGTACGCACGGCACGTTCACCAACCACACGCACGCACGTTACGCACAAAACAGGCGAACTGCATAGGCATGATAAACAAGGTCACGCACGCGCACACGCACGCACGACTGCACTACGCACGCACGCACGCACGCACGTCACACACACCACGCACTCACGCAGCACAAACAGGGGAACTTGACAATAGGCATGGATAAACAACCGGTCACGACACCGCAACGCACGGCCCGCACGCACGCAAGGCATGCACGCACGCACGCGCACGCACGCACGCGCCGCTCGCACAAGCAGGGAGCTGCATAGGCATCAGGAGAGGCATGTTAAACAAGGGCACGCACGCACGCACGTACGCAGACACGCACAACGCAGAGAATAGGCACAAGCGAACGCCACGCAGCTCGCTGTGCCTGCATGCTAACTGTGGGCGAAAGGTCTGTTTCTGTGAAACTTGTCAAAGGCAACTTTACAATAACATGTATACGTACATGAAGTCAACAGTCGGTAGTTATTCAAGAGGAGGTCTTTTTTATTCCAGTATTGCAAACAATAACTATTCAACGACAGCTAACCCCTTTATTACTTTATTCATTCATTATTTAATTGTACCTCATTTATTTATTAACATTGGCCATTTATTTCATCTTTCTGTGCGCGCACATGCGCAGAGAACTGTTTACTGCAGTCGCCGCGTTATTTCGTGAATGTCATTTGCCAATTAGCGATTAGCGATTAGCGACAGTTACTACCCCGTGCGAAAAAAGCTGGAACGACCTTGGCGCTGCGTGTGACATTCGACGTGCACAGCTTAGATTACTAAGTATAGTGACGTCAGTCGACTAGCTAGCTAGCGGCTCGTGACGTTGTACAAACCTGACATACACGGGGGATTGTCACAGGGGTTTGCAGCTAGCAGATTAATTATCGATTTATTCATTCAATTGTAGAGCTATATCTATCCATCTATGTATGTATGTATGTATGTATGTATGTATGTATGTAATGTATGTAGTTGTATGTATGCTATGAGTATGTATGTATGTATGTATGTACTGTATGTTATGTATGTATGTATGTAACATGTATGTAATGTATGTATGTATGTACTGTATGTACTGTATGTATGATGTATGTATGTATGTATGGTATGTATGTATGTAGTGTATGTATGTGCTATGTGTGTGTGTGTTGTGTGGTGTGATGTGCATGTGTGACTTGTCGTGGTGCTGCGAACTGTTGCGCGTGCGTTGCGTGGCGTGCGTGGAGTGCTGTCGTGCGGTGCGGGCGTGGTGCGTGCGCTGTGCGCATGCATGCATGTATGTATGTATGTATGTATGTATGTGTATGTATGTATGTATGTATGTATGTATGTATGTATGTATGTATGTAGTGTATGTATGGTATAGTATGTATGTATGTAATGTATGTATGTATGTATGTTGTATGTATGTATGTATATATGTGTTATCTATTATGTAATGTATCTATCTATGCTATCCATCGTATCCATCTATCCATCTATCCACGCTATCCATCTATCTATCTAATCTATCCATCTCATCTATACCATCCATCGTCCTCATCCTTTATCCGTCCTCCTCAGCCCAGTCCGCCCATCATCGTCCGTCAATTCGCCATTCGTGCCATCCTCCATTCATCCATCCATCCATCACATCCATCCATGCCATTCATCCATCCATCCATCCATCTATCCATCCATCCATACCATGCCATCCATCCATCCATCCAATCCATCCATCCATCGCATCCATCATCCATCCTTCTATCCAGTCCATACCATGCCTCCAATCCAATATATCTATCTATCTATCATCTATCATATTTAATCTACTATCTATCTATCTATCTATCCATCTATGCTATCTATCTATTATCTATTCTATCTATCTAATGCTATCTATCTACTCCTATCTATCTATACTATCTATCTTACTCATATCTATCTTATCTATCTATCTATCTATCTATCTATCCTATCTATCTATCTATCTATCTACTACTATCTATCTATCATACCATACCATCTACATAGACCTACCGGGGTATCTATTCTATCGTATCTATTATCTATTATCTATCTATCTTATCTAATCTATCTATCTATCTTTAGTCTTATCTAGTCTACTATCTATCTACTATCTATCTATACTATCTACTCCTATCTATCTATCATTAATCTATCTACTGCTATCTATCTATCTATCTACTATCTACACATACCTACCTACTACTACCTACCTATCTATCTATCATATATATATATATCTATCTAATTCTTCTTATCCTATCTATCTATCACTATCTAATCTATCTATCTATCTAATCTATTTATCTAATCTTCTCTTAATGTCTATCTATTTATCTTTAGATCTGTATTTTATCTATGCTTCTCTTATGGTCTATCTATTCTAACCAAACTGATTTATTGATATATCGTGATCAGATCACCTTTGAGGATTGCAAAAATGCAACTCTCCGCCGTTTAAAGTGCATAGAAAGATAGGTTGATAAAATCGTCTCTCAGCCGTGGGGGGCTAGGCGGCGCCTCAAGGCCACGAATCCGCGTGCAAGAATCAACACCACCTCCAAGAAAACTAAACCCGAGCTAATAAAACACGAAACGGTCGGTTATGCGCATTGCAAACCTCCACATTAGTCACCAGGAGGCCGTTGTTCAGAAACAAATTAGTTCTTTAACATTAGTCCTTAACTAGTTAAGTTTCTCTTAGAGCGTTGACAGAAACTTCTGTGAAAGTACGAGAATTAAAAATTCTCGTAACTTTTCTCGTTACTTAAGAGGCAATCTAGACCCTACCCTTAACATTAATATGTAAGCTTCGAAATAAGCACATTTACACTACGAATTACAATTAAAGTGATATTATATTTATTACAATAATGAATTAAAATGTGTGTTTTTCTTGAAGAAACACGTTCAAAATCAATTAATTATCTTTCCGCCCTAATTAAACAGAAACAATTAGCATTTACAAATGCGTATGGCATTTGTTCTCGTTGTATAAAACTCTCGCTCTCGTGTTACAGTGCTGAGAAGATTGTTGTTTGTGCGCAATAAATTCGATGAAGCACGTCATTTTCATTACAAATAGTTATTTACATGTGGTTAGCCTTATAATATGCGGATGAATTAACCGTGATGTACAATAAAGGTTGTGTATGAATTTTGAATTTTCGTGATCAATGTTCATACCAAGTCACAGCGTTGTGACATAAAAATTATGAAGTTCCTGTTATCGTGAGCTTTTCACTTAAGTAAGTTTAGTTACGATAGGTTTCTGTGCCACCAAGTACTATAACCTTTCTCTTAACACTAACATTAGACTTAAAATTAATCGTAACTTTACGATGTTTCTGACAACGGGCCCCAGATTCACTGCTCACTAGAGAGACCCCGAAATTGCCCAAGGAATCGCTTAAAATGTGCAGCTCCTTCCCGCATGCGACCCCTCGCCGGCTGTTCCGCCCTCCCCACACACCCCCCGATCACGTATTCCTTGATCCCCTGTCTCCTGCTTGTATTGTCTACGACACGATAGAGGCTAGACTCGGCTATTGGTGTTTATAACGCCACACCCACTTCATTGGCACGCACGCGATCCTAAGCGCCAGAACCACAGCTCGATCTCGCTGCGGTCTACACGGCAAACGCATGACGCTTAAGCTCCATCACCGATCGATTCATCACTCTCACCTGTCAACCCAAGACCACGATGTTGTCGCGAGGTGAGGACCCCCCGAAGGCTAGAAGGTTGATTGCCGCTTTTCGCTGCTCGGCGAGTCACATAACGACCCGTTTGTCCTTGAGTCCGACTCGGCTTGCCGACGTGGGTCCGTTAAGACGAAAGTGTGGCGCGGGCCGTTATTTCCCCGGGGTATAACGCCGTGTCTTTCCACGTGTCGCCAGGGTGACAAATGATGACACGCACGGCGGTGAATCGCTGTGAAAAGCTGTGACACTTTGGTGTCAGGCATATTTGGTGGTTGGCGCGGCAGGACGGGAGGAGGGGGACGAAGGCCCGGAGATGCTGACCAAAAAAACCTGCCCGAAATGCCTCGCTTTGTCGAATGTGTTTCAAGGCTACGACATCGGGCTATATAACGGACCGGGCAGGACGGCTGTGGGCATCAGTCCCAGATCAGCAGATTAACAGTCAAGTCTTCGAGTGATAGTCTACAGGTAAGTTCTACACGCTCGCTCTACGCTAATATTCGATTTACGCCTCGTGGCAGTAGTAATAATCATATGTAGTTAGTTAGTTCGAGTGCAGATATTTAAAGTTGGCAATAGTTTCAATGTATTTACTGTATTTGCTAGGTTTCTTTATGGTTTATCTTGTGGTGTACTATCATACTGTCTGAGTTGTGAAAGGGAATGCGATGTTAAGAATTGTTTTTTAGAAATTGCCTTGAATTTTTTTCCAGGCCAAAAATGAAGTTCGTCATCTTGCTCGCCCTGGTGGGCTTCGCCTGCGCTGGAGAGTACACTAACGCTCCAGAGTTCCACACCACCGTGGTGCAGGGACCACTGGCTGTAGCACGAGTTGCAGGAGAGGGTCAGAGGAGTGCCAGCAGCTCCTACGCCCGTGAGGGATCCGCCGCCGGTGCCGACTACGCCCGCGATGAAGCCCAGGCTGCCGAAACCGCCGCCAAGGCCCGTGGATACCAGTACGCATACAGGAACGGATACAGCTGGTACCAGCCCAAGATTCTGTACGCTTACACCTTCGAGCGCCCCATCATTGGCACCAGGGACCAGGAGGTTGCTCTGCCTGCCATCAACACCAACATCCCCCAGGCTAACATTGCCGTGGCTCCAGTTGTCTACCCCAGCATTAACGTACCCACCCCAGCCGTCCCTGTATGCAGCGGACCCGGCTGCGGCCGCTCCCACGGATATGGCGGTCGCAATCTTGGATACAGAGGCGGATATGGACACGGACTTGGATACGGAGGATACGGACTTGGATACGGAGGAAACGGGCTTGGATACGGAGGAAACGGGCTTGGCTACGGAGGATACGGACTTGGAAACGGAGGATACGGGCTTGGCTACGGAGGGCACGGACTCGGCGGATATGGCAGATGGTAAGAAGACTGAAGCATGTGGACCCATACACAGTTCAACAACATGAGTAAAGATGAGGATTAAATCTGAAGTGCTGTCGTTGTAAGAAGTAGCAAAGGACTAACAGAGATTTTTACTAAATACGGAGGACCTATAAATATCACACTTGTTTTACTGCTTGATCAGAGTCTGATTATCATGAGATTGATCGTTTGTTTTTTGTATTCCGTCATGTGTATAGAGTATATTTATAGATACTGCTGATACTTGACACTGTAGTGAGAAAATCAAAAATAAATTGATTGTGTTGTACAGAATATTACCTCTACATTGTTCCTCTGTCTCACGTTCTGTTTAATTTCAAACTCACATACTTGAAGTATATGCCGTGACAGCGTATTGAATTACTCGGCGGTAAAAATGCTTAGCATACTTTCGGCCCACGGTAGGCCCAAATGTTTACCACATACAGAATTAAACTGCTGCCTAAAATGACATATAAGAATGTATGTTACGAGAAATTAAAAGATCATACTTAATTTAGAAGTAGTAGTGATAATGTCAGTTTGTATAACACGTTTAAAACACTAAAGTAATATAAAACACGTTAATAGCAATGTAAAAATTAAATAATATATTTGTATGTAATAATATCAGAGAGATGTGGAAAATGTGACGCATTAAAAAACAATCAAATGAAATCCGGATCGGTCCCCAACTTTATCTTGATAACAGATATTTAATTCGCTGAATGGTTCATTTTTATAATGAGAATTAACCTCATAGACACATACGTGTACGCGTACAAACACACGCGCGCGCATGTACAAACGCAAAAAACACACAGACACACAGGCACACACTTTACGCAC